TTCGGCAGCTATGTGAATCAACCCTCCATAATTTTGTTTTGTGTGCTACGCTCAAATGCTGTCATGCGTTCACATTTTGTGTGTTTTAGTGTATTTTGATGTTTTTGGAATTTTTTCACTTCTTGTGTAATTCTCATTCACATGAAATTGCTGGCGCCTTAAGATGTTTAGTTTGTGCGGTGTTGGGTTAGCTTTGCGCAGAGGCGATATCGTAACCAATGAGGTTCTACCGAGGTGCGATTATTGCTAGTTGAAAACTTTAACCAATACCCCGCCATGGGGACGTGAAATACCGTCCACTACGGCAATTTTTGCAAGCCCGAGAGGGCTATGAGTTAATAAATCTGAGTTTCGGTTATTTGGGAGGATTGAGTTAAACAGCTCAAGTCTTTCGGAAAGGAGTCTTAAGGAAGAATTCGTCCACCCAACTTCAGCATTTATTGTGGTGATGTAGACAGTGACGCCAGCTTAGTGCTTTTCGCGCTATTTATGGTGCTTTTTACACCCCTAAAACGCCAAAATAGTGGGCATAGCGCGAAACGAAAAAAAAGCACTGTACGTACGCTTTTCATCTTTTCTGTTGGTGCTTTTAGCGCGTTTTAGATTTTTAAATATGACAATGTTTATACATTCGAATATTTTGATAGTATGACATCTACTTGTCGCAAGTTCTTTACTGCAAATTCTTTACGTGTCATTCCTGTCATTGAAGTTCTTTTGTTTACTCTTTTTTAAAAAACCATAATAAAACGAAGAATTTTGTATATTATAAACCAATTGAAGGAAAAGTGAAATGAACGAGAAAAAAACGTAAGTTTATACATGGCTGCTTTGTTGTACGAGTATACAAAACTTCAACTGAATTTGAAGCTATGGGTTTTATGGGTGAACATAATTGTTTGTAAAAATGTATATGTCTGCAATTTTTAACCACATGTAAAATGTTCCTAATATATCATATTTTTTTAAAAATATGTATGCACTTATATACATGAAATATTTATATATGTTGTTGTTGATTTAAGACACATTTTTCAATGGAATTGTCTGCAATTCTACACAAGGAGTTCTTTGTGAGTACTTTACCCCCTGAAATAGAATTGTCGGTAAGGTCCACAATATCGTATATCCTCAATATATCGGCATCTTCCGATATTGGGTATTTTTGTAGATTTTAAAAGAATTTTTAATGGATTTTTTTTTTTTTGTAAATTTCCTAATTCGTTTTAAATGGTGGAGGGTATTCAAAGTTCGGCCCGGCCGAACTTACTGCTTTTTTACTTGTTTAAAAATATGTATGCGCTTATATACATGAAATGTTTATATAAGATACGATCTAAATTTTTGAATAAAACAGTATTTAGTTTAAAAAAAAGGTTTTTATTGACAATTTTGGTTAGAAAAAAATACATAGCGCTTTTTACGCTTTTTTAAGGAAAATTTGTACGCCATTTACGCTTTTCTGGTTTTTAATTACGCTTTTAGCTCTCAAAATGTTGGCAACACTGGATGTAGAACCATTCAACTTTTAAGAAAAGCCTAGCCTGAGATCCTTAAATAAGGTCTTCAAAAAATATTTTTAAAAAATCCACGTTGCTTTTTAAGACTTGAAAAAATATTTTTAAAAAATCCACGTTGCTTTTTAGGACTTGAAAAAATATTTTTAAAAAATCCACGTTGCTTTTTAGGACTTGAAAAAATATTTTTAAAAAATCCACGTTGCTTTTTAAGACTTGAAAAAATATTTTTAAAAAATCCACGTTGCTTTTTAGGACTTGAAAAAATATTTTTAAAAAATCCACGTTGCTTTTTAGGACTTGAAAAAAATATTTTTAAAAAATCCACGTTGCTTTTTAGGACTTGAAAAAATATTTTTAAAAAATCCACGTTGCTTTTTAGGACTTGAAAAAATATTTTTAAAAAATCCACGTTGCTTTTTAGGACTTGAAAAAATATTTTTAAAAAATCCACGTTGCTTTTTAGGACTTGAAAAAATATTTTTAAAAAATCCACGTTGCTTTTTAGGACTTGAAAAAATATTTTTAAAAAATCCACGTTGCTTTTAGGACTTGAAAAAATATTTTTAAAAAATCCACGTTGCTTTTTAGGACTTGAAAAAATATTTTTAAAAATCCACGTTGCTTTTTAGGACTTGAAAAAATATTTTTAAAAAATCCACGTTGCTTTTTAGGACTTGAAAAAATATTTTTAAAAAATCCACGTTGCTTTTTAGGACTTGAAAAAAATATTTTTAAAAATCCACGTTGCTTTTTAGGACTTGAAAAAATATTTTTAAAAAATCCACGTTGCTTTTTAGGACTTGAAAAAATATTTTTAAAAAATCCACGTTGCTTTTTAGGACTTGAAAAAATATTTTTAAAAAATCCACGTTGCTTTTTAGGACTTGAAAAAATATTTTTAAAAAATCCACGTTGCTTTTTAGGACTTGAAAAAATATTTTTAAAAAATCCACGTTGCTTTTAGGACTTGAAAAATATTTTTAAAAAATCCACGTTGCTTTTTAGGACTTGAAAAAATATTTTTAAAAAATCCACGTTGCTTTTTAGGACTTGAAAAAATATTTTTAAAAAATCCACGTTGCTTTTTAGGACTTGAAAAAATATTTTTAAAATATCCACGTTGCTTTTTAGGACTTGAAAAAATATTTTTAAAAAATCCACGTTGCTTTTTAGGACTTGAAAAAATATTTTTAAAAAATCCACGTTGCTTTTTAGGACTTGAAAAAATATTTTTAAAAAATCCACGTTGCTTTTTAGGACTTGAAAAAATATTTTTAAAAAATCCACGTTGCTTTTTAGGACTTGAAAAATATTTTTAAAAAATCCACGTTGCTTTTTAGGACTTGAAAAAATATTTTTAAAAAATCCACGTTGCTTTTTAGGACTTGAAAAAATATTTTTAAAAAATCCACGTTGCTTTTTAGGACTTGAAAAAATATTTTAAAAAATCCACGTTGCTTTTTAGGACTTGAAAAAATATTTTTAAAAAATCCACGTTGCTTTTTAGGACTTGAAAAAATATTTTTAAAAAATCCACGTTGCTTTTTAGGACTTGAAAAAATATTTTTAAAAATCCACGTTGCTTTTTAGGACTTGAAAAATATTTTTAAAAAATCCACGTTGCTTTTTAGGACTTGAAAAAATATTTTTAAAAAATCCACGTTGCTTTTTAGGACTTGAAAAAATATTTTTAAAAAATCCACGTTGCTTTTTAGGACTTGAAAAAATATTTTTAAAAAATCCACGTTGCTTTTTAGGACTTGAAAAAATATTTTTAAAAAATCCACGTTGCTTTTTAGGACTTGAAAAAATATTTTTAAAAAATCCACGTTGCTTTTAGGACTTGAAAAAATATTTTTAAAAATCCACGTTGCTTTTTAGGACTTGAAAAAATATTTTTAAAAAATCCACGTTGCTTTTTAGGACTTGAAAAAATATTTTTAAAAAATCCACGTTGCTTTTTAGGACTTGAAAAAATATTTTTAAAAAATCCACGTTGCTTTTTAGGACTTGAAAAAATATTTTTAAAAAATCCACGTTGCTTTTTAGGACTTGAAAAAATATTTTTAAAAAATCCACGTTGCTTTTTAGGACTTGAAAAAATATTTTTAAAAAATCCACGTTGCTTTTTAGGACTTGAAAAAATATTTTTAAAAAATCCACGTTGCTTTTTAGGACTTGAAAAAATATTTTTAAAAAATCCACGTTGCTTTTTAGGACTTGAAAAAATATTTTTAAAAAATCCACGTTGCTTTTTAGGACTTGAAAAAATATTTTTAAAAAATCCACGTTGCTTTTTAGGACTTGAAAAAATATTTTTAAAAAATCCACGTTGCTTTTTAGGACTTGAAAAAATATTTTTAAAAAATCCACGTTGCTTTTTAGGACTTGAAAAAATATTTTTAAAAAATCCACGTTGCTTTTAGGACTTGAAAAATATTTTTAAAAAATCCACGTTGCTTTTTAGGACTTGAAAAATATTTTTAAAAAATCCACGTTGCTTTTTAGGACTTGAAAAATATTTTTAAAAAATCCACGTTGCTTTTTAGGACTTGAAAAAATATTTTTAAAAAATCCACGTTGCTTTTTAGGACTTGAAAAAATATTTTAAAAAATCCACGTTGCTTTTTAGGACTTGAAAAAATATTTTTAAAAAATCCACGTTGCTTTTTAGGACTTGAAAAAATATTTTTAAAAAACCCGCGTTGCTTTAAAGGACTACAAAAAATATTTTTAAAAAATCCACGTTGCTTTATAGGACTTCAAAAAATATTTTTAAAAAATCCACGTCGCTTTATAGGACTTCAAAAAATATTTTTAAAAAATCCACGTTGCTTTATAGGACTTCAAAAAATATTTTTAAAAAATCCACGTTGCTTTATAGGACTTGAAAAAATATTTTTAAAAAATCTACATTGCTTTATAGGACTTCAAGAAATATTTTTTAAAAAATTCATAAAAGTAGAATCCTTAAAAAATATTTTTTTTAAAAATCCATTTTTATTGTTGGTTCTTAAAAAATATTTTTTTTAAAAAATTCACTTTTATTGTTGGTCCTTAAAAATATTTTTTTAAAAATCCACGTTTATTTTTGGTCCTTAAAAAATATTATTTAAAAATCCACGTTTATTGTTGGTCCTTAAAAATTTTTTTTTAAAAAATCTACGTTTATTGTTGGTCCTTAAAAAATATTTTTTCATAAATCCACGTTTGTTGCTGTACCTTAAAAAAATATTTTTAAAAAGTCCACATTTATGGTTGGTCCTCAAAAAATATTTTTTTAAAAATCCACGTTCATTGTTGGTCCTTAAAAAATATTTTTTTTTTTAAATCCACGTTTATTGTTGGTTCTAAAAAATACTTTTATAAAATCCACGATTATTGTTGGTCCTTAAAAAATATTTTTTTAAAAAATCCACGTTTTTCGTTGTCACCAAAAAAATTTTAACAATCCTCTCTTTTTCCCCTCTCTCTTTTCAGTTCCATTTCGGTCCTGAGCAATGATGGCTTTCGCCTCTATTCGATCAATGCCAGCGATAAAATTGATGAAATTTTCGCCAAAGAAAACACCGAACAGATACGAATTGTTGAACGCCTCTTCAATAGCTCCCTGGTAGTGCTGGTCACTCACCAAAAACCCAATTGTTTGAAAATGTTACATTTCAAAAAGAAACAGGACATCTGCAATTGTGTCTACCCATCGGACATCCTGTGTGTGCGAATGAATCGCTATCGCTTGGTCGTCTGCTTGGCCGAAAGTATTCACATTCACGACATTCGCGATATGAAAATTTTACATTCCATTGAGAACATTGCCCCCAATGAGTTGGGTCTGTGTTCGTTGTCGTTAAATTCGCATTTGGCATTTCCCATCTGCACCACCAGTGGAGAGTTGCGAATTTTCAATGCCAATAAACTGAAAACGGGACTGACCATTAAGGCTCACGACACAGCTCTCTCGGCCATGGCATTTTCACCCAGTGGTACACTCTTGGCTACCGCCTCCGAGCGTGGAACTGTGATACGGGTATTTTGTGTTAAGAATGGCCAGAAGGTTCAGGAATTCCGACGTGGGGTGAAACGTTGTGTACGCATTGCATCGCTGGTGTTTTCCACAACAGGGGACTTTTTGTGTGCCTCCTCGAATACGGAGACGGTGCACATTTTTAAGATTGACACCAAGGCCGTGGAGGCGGCGGAACGCAAGGCTTCAATTGGTGAGTTATACATAAATCTACCCTTCGAAGATAATTTACTAAATTTATTTTTCCCCTTTCAGATGATTCCAAAAAATCCACGGCAAATGGTACATCATCACCACCCTCCTCTACCACAGGCACCACATCCGCCACTTCGGCAACAAGTACAAATACGGAAAATTCCTCTGCGACTCCTCCCTCCACAAAACAGCATCAGCAATCACAACAACAACACCAACCTGCCTCTACTTCAAGTACCACAAATGCCGTATCTAATCCCGCCACAAACCCTGCCTCCATTTCCTCAGCTTCCAGTAATTCCTGGTCCATGAGTGGTTATATTTCTAAGGCCATGTCTTCATATTTAATACCCTCACAAATTGGTGATGTCTTGAGTCAAGATCGGGCCTTTGCCACAGCTGTATTGGGTCAACCTGGCCTTAAACATGTCTGTGGCCTGGCACGCATACAAAAGGAGCTGCGTCTCCTGCTGGCCTGTGAAGACGGATTCCTTTACATACATGAGTTCAACAGTGAAAAGGGTGGACCATGTAAGCTGCTGCATGTTCATGATTTGCGTTATACCTTGGAGGGTGTGATAGGTAAGCTGGAAAAATTATTTCCTTTAAAAACAGGGATTTCATAATCGTTTCTCCTCCTCCATTTTTTCCAGAACTCAATCTCTCCGACAGCATGGACAAAATTTCCTTTTCCGGAAATTTACCCTCCACACCAACAAGTAACCCTTCCTCAGGTTTCTCAGCGGATGCTGTCTCACCTTCTGCTGCAGGCGGTGTTTCACCACATTCCAAGGACTCTGCCTCATCGTCGCCTCACAGCAAATCCAGTTCTATGAGCAGTGTTAGCGTTATAATTGAAAATCCCGATCCCTCAACTGACAATTCATATGCCAGCATATTAAAGGGTACCGAACCTGGGCTGAATACTCTTACAGGTATTATGGCCTAAAATTGTAGACGATTTTGATTGGTTCACATTTAAAAATTGGAAAAAAAATTCTGGATGAAAATTTCACAATGTCATGGTTCAGATTATTTATTAAAGGTCATTGGAAAAGTATGCCTTAAAATTCCATGGTTTCTAGGATTAGCAAAAAACGTCCTTGGTCCGAATAACTTTTAGAACAGCACGGTCTGTGGGATTAGCAACAAGTAAAAAAGCAGTAAGTTCGGCCGGGCCGATTTTTGAATACCCTCCACTATTTGGAACAATTTTGACAATTTAAAAAAAAAAAATCCGTTGAAAATTCTTTTAAAATTTACGAACTTCGAACAGCATATTTGAAACAATTCTGGTGAATAATGTCGCTAAAATCATTAAAATACCGAATATCGGGAGGTATGGAGATATGGGGGCTATACGAAGACGTGGACTTGCACAGACAATTTTCTATCACAGGCTGTAGCATCCGATACGAACTTCAAGTGCCAAATTTAAAACGATTCCGGTGAAAAATATCGCTAAAATCATCAAAATACCGAATATTGGGGGGAACCGTCATATGGGGGCTATATGAAGACGTGAACTTGCACAGACAATTTTCTGTCATAGGCTGTGGTACCCATTACGAACCTCAAATACCAAATTTGAAACGATTCCGGTGAATCATGTCGCTAAAATCATCAAAATATTGAATATCGGGAGGTACTGTTATATGGGGGTTATACGAAGACGTGGACCGACACAGACAATTTTCTGACATGGGCTGTAGCATCCGTTACGAATTTCTAGTACCAAATTTGAAACAATTCCGCTGAATAATGTCGCTAAAGTCCTCAAAATATCGAATATTGGGAGGTACCGTTATATGGGGGCTATACGAAGACGTGGACCTACACAGACTATTTTCTGTCGTAGGCTGTGGTACCCATTACGAACTTCAAATGCCAAATTTGAAACAATTCCGGTGAAAAATGTCGCTAAAATTAATAAAATTCCGAATATAGGGAGGTACCATTATATTGGGGCTATACGAAGACGTGGACCTACACAGACAATTTTCTGTCATAGGCTGTAGTATTCATTACGAACTTCAAATAACAAATTTGAAACATTTCCGGTGAATAATGTCGCTTAAATCATTAAAATACCGAATATCGGTATATGGGGGCTATACGAAGATGTAGACCTACCCAGACAATTTTCTGTCTTTGGTTGTAGTATTCATTACGAACTTCAAGTACCAAATTTTAAACGAATCCGGTAAAAAATGTCGCTAATATCATCAAAATACCGAATATCGGGAGGTACCGTTATATGGGGGCTATACGAAGAAGTGGACCTGCACAGACACTTTTCTGTCATAGGCTATAGCATCCGTTACGAACTTCAAGTACCAAATTTGAAACGATTCCGGTGAATAATGTCGCTAAAATCATCAAAATACCGAATATCGGGAGGTACCCTTATATGGGGGCTATACGAAGACGTGGACCTGCATAGACAATTTTCTGTCATAGGCTGTAGTACCCATTACGAACTTTAAATACCAAATTTGAATCCTTTCCGGTGAATAATGTCGCCGAATAAAGTCCTGCAGATATAATACACATTTGTGTAAAAAATTATCAATCTACTTCAATTCGTTCGAAAGCTAGAGTGATTTCCACAGACGGACGGACATCGCTAAATCGACATAGAATTTTATGCTGATATGATGTATATTTCGAGGTGTTGCAAACGGAATGACAAACTTAATATACCCTCCATACTATGGTGGCGGGTATAAAAAGCTGCATTTGATAAAAATCCTTTCAAAATCCATTTTCCCTGGAAACTTTTATTTTTCGTTTTAATTTTTTTTTGGCAATTTAAAGTAACTAAATTTTTTGTTTGTTGTTCCTTAACGTTTCAGCAGATTCGGCGAAATTTCGAAAACTTTGTGATGCCATTGACACACCTACTAAATTGTATGATGAGCGACAATTTCCCCCTGTAGCCATAGCGGCCAAAGATTGACCGAAAACGGTAGCAACAACAACAACTGCAACAACAAGCCTAGCTAAAATGCAACGTTTAAAATGATTGCTGCTTATTAGAATAGGAAGTCTTCTATAAATTGATGATGATGATGGTTTGAATCATGGCTATTGTTTTATTTATTATAACCAATTTATTTTTGTTAAAATAAAAAAATCGAAAAAAAAAATATTAAAATTTTCAAGTATCTCCAACAAAAAAACTTAAAAATGTAAAAAGCCCTACATTAAAAAAAAAAATATGAAGCATACTTAACCATAGACTTTGTCGATACTATGTATATGTATTTCTTAACTCTTATATTTAGCATTTATTTAAACGAATATATTTATGATTTTATTTAAATAATCCATATTTTTAGATATTTTATCAATATAACTGCTCTAAAACATTTTATGACAAATAAAGTTCAAATTAGTTGCAATTTAGAAATTAAATTAAAAAAAAAAATACTCTCATCTCTAATTTTTCATAATTAAAAAATAAATATGACAAATAAAAAAATATTATATTAAGTGTAAAATAAATAGGAAAAGGGACTAGAAAAAATACTAAAAAATATAAATTTTAAAAATGTAAAAAAAAAATATTGAACTATTTTGTGTACTAAAGAGAACTCTTCTTTATAGAAAAATATTAATAATAATAAAATGGCCTTTAGCCTATAAAGGTATTATTGAAACAAAATATTCAAATTAAACTATCAGAATTTTGTTACTTCTAATTTTCAAAAATATGTATTCGAAATTTCCCTTTATTAAAAACCACATAAAACCCCCTCTTAACTTTGTGACAGTCAAATTTAAAATCAAAATATGCAAATGAAACTATCACAAAAATATCCGAAATTTCCTATTTCTCTCCGAACCACATAAAACCCCCTTAACAATCCCTTCTGTAAGTCCAAATTTAACATCAAAATATCCAACAGAAACTACACCAAATTTGTTCCTTCTAATTTCCAAAAATATATATTCCAAAAATATATATTCGAAATTTATTTTTTTTCCCAAAACCCTCTTAACTTTGTAACAATCCCCTTCTGTAAATTTAAATTTAAAATCAAAATATCCCAATGAAACTATCACAATGTTTTTCCTTCTAATTTCCAAAAAAAAAAATATATATTCGAAATTCCCCTTTTCTCTCAGAACCACATAAAACCCCAAATCCAAATTTAAAATTAAAATATCCAAATGGAACTACCACAATTTGAATCCTTCTAATCTTCAAAAAAAAAAAAAAATCGAAATTCCCTTTTTCCTCCACAATTGTGACAATCCCCCTCTGTAAATCAAAATTTAAAATCAAAATATCCAAATGGAACTACCAACTTAAAAAAAATATTTTTAACAAATCCACGTTGTTTTTAAGACCTCAAAAAATATTTTTCAAAAACCAGGTTGCTTTTAAGAGCTCAAAAAAATATTTTTAAAAAAACCACGTTGCTTTATAGGACTTTAAAAAATATTTTTAAAACATCCACGTTGGTTTATAGAACTTCAAAAAATATTTAAAAAAAATCCACGTTGCTTTATAGGACTTTAAAAAATATTTTTAAAAAAAATCACGTTGGTTTATAGAACTTCAAAAAATATTTAAAAAAAATCCACGTTTATTGTTGGTCCTTAAAAAATATTTTTTAAAAAATCCACGTTTATTGTTGGTCCTTAAAAAAATATTTTTTAAAAAATTCCACGTTTATTGTTGGTCTTTAAAAAATATTTTTTAAAAAATCCACATTTATTGTTGGTTCTTAAAAAATATTTTTTAAAAAATCAACGTTTATTGATGGTCCTTAAAAAATATTTCTAAAAAATCCACATTTATTGTTGGTCCTTAAAAAATATTTTTTAAAAAATCCAAGTTTATTGTTGGTCCTTAAAAATATTTTTTAAAAAATCCAAGTTTATTGTTGGTCCTTAAAAATATTTTTTAAAAAATCCACGTTTATTGTTGGTCCTTAAAAAATATTTTTTTAAAAAATCCCCGTTTATTGTTGGTCCTTAAAAAATATTTTTTAAAAAATCCACTTTTATTCTTGGTCCTTAAAAATATTTTTTAAAAAATCCACGTTTATTGTTGGTCTTTAAAAAATATTTTTTAAAAAATCTACGTTTATTGTGGTCCTTAAAAATATTTTTAAAAAATCTACGTTTATTGTTGGTCTTTAAAAAATATTTTTTAAAAAATCCACGTTTATTGTTGGTTCTTAAAAAAATATTTTTTAGAAAATCAACGTTCATTGTTGGTCCTTAAAAAATATTTTTTAAAAAATCCACGTTTATTGTTGGTCCTTAAAAAATATTTTTTAAAAAATCCACGTTTATTGTTGGTCTTTAAAAAATATTTTTTAAAAAATCTACGTTTATTGTTGGTCCTTAAAAAATATTTTTTAAAAAATCAACGTTTATGGTTGGTCCTTAAAAAATATTTTTTTTTAAAATCAACGTTTATTGTTGGTCCTTAAAAAATATTTTTTAAAAAATCCACCTTTATTGTTGGTCTTTAAAAAATATTTTTTAAAAAATCAACGTTTTTTGTTGGTCCTTAAAAATATTTTTTAAAAAATCCACATTTATTGTTGGTCCTTAAAAAATATTTTTTAAGAAATCCAATCCTCTTTTCAGCAATCCTTTTCCTCTCTCTCTCTCTCTCTTTCCAGTTCCATTTCGGTCCTGTGCAATGATGGCTTTCGCCTCTTCTAATTTATCAAAAATACATTCAAAATTTCCTTTTTTTCTTCGAACCACATAAAACTTCCTTAACCTTGTGACAATCCCGCTATGTAAATTCAAAGTTAAAATCAGAATATCCAACTGAAAGATAAAAAGAAAAAGAAAAATAAATAATAATAAAATAAATAAATAAAATAAAATTCCCTTTTTCCACCAACAAAAAACCCCTTACTAAACCCCCCTTAACTTTGTGACAATCCATCAACCCCCTCCCTCTCTCTCTGTAAATTCAAATTTAAAACCATTCCATTTTTTTTTTTTTTGAAATTCACAGATGTTTCTTTTATTATAAATGTGATTAGCTATAGAGATTTTATTCTTTCCATTGGAATCTAATGTCAATGTACCTTATTAAAATTAAAAAAAAAAACACATTTTGAAAATCACAATAGACGCTACACATGTGTATATGTATGACTTGTATATTCCAATTAGTTTTAATTTTTAAGCAAACTGTGTGAACCAACAAAACTACATAAAAACAAGAACAACAACAACAAATAAATGCAATACATCGATATGTATCTCATGAAGGACAAAACGAAAAGAAGAAAAGAAAATAATGGGTTTTGAATTTGTTTTAATTCGATTTTTTTAGATAGGGTATTTGATTTCTGAATATGGACTGTCACCGGACACAAAGAGGTGTTTTTATACCCTCAGCCATATGGCTACAGAGGGTATATATCATTTGATACGGCCAAAACGTGCCTAGTCAAAATAACGGTTTTAGACCCTAGGTCTCTTTGGACCAAATCCGTTTCAGAACATTTGGAGTTGATCTAGCGATGTCCGTCCGTCCGTCCGTCCGTCTGTCTGTCTGTCTGGCTGGCTGGTGCGCACGATAACTCTCGAAGGGAGTATCCCATTTGGTCCAAATTGGCTACAACGTAATATTTTTGTCAAACTTAGATCGAGTTCGGAGATGGGCAATATCGGTCCACTCCTTCTGGTACCTCCCCCACAAAAGGTCGAAATTTTCAAAAAATATATTTTTTGCACAGGAAGAGAAAGGATAATCCGAATTTGCTCCAACTTTGCAAATCCTAATATTTGCGTCAGTGCTAGTTCAGGTGTGAAAATGGACAATATCGGTCCACCCCATCAAGTACCTCCCCCACAAATGGTCAACATTTTGAATAATTACAACTTTCATAAAATGTTATGTAAGAGTCCGACTGTCTTCAAATTTCACACATCCCAATATTTATATTAACCCAAGGTCTTGTGTTAAGATGAACAATATCGGCCCACTCCTTCTGGTACCTCCCCCACAAAAGGTCGAAATTTTCAAAAAAAAAAAAACAAATTTTTTGCACAGAAAGAGAAAGGCTAATCCGAATTCGCTCCGACTTTGCGAATCCTAATATTTGCGTCAGTGCTAGGACAGGTGTGAAAATGGACAATATCGGTCCACCCCATCAAGTACCTCCCCCACAAATGGTCAAAATTTTGAATAATTACAACTCTCATAAAATGTTATGTAAGAGTCCGATTGTCTTAAAATTTCACACATCCCAATATTTATATTAACCCAAGGTCTGGTGTTAAGATGAACAATATCGGTCCACTCCTTCTGGTACCTCCCCCACAAAAGGTCGAAATGTTCAAAAAATATATTCTTTGCACAGAAAGAGAAAGGATAATCCGAATTTGCTCCAACTTTGCAAATCCTAATATTTGCGTCAGTGCTAGGGCAGGTGTGGAAATGAACGATATCGGTCCACTCCATCAAGTACCTCCCCCACAAATGGTCAAAATTTTGAATAATTACAACTCTCATAAAATGTTATGTAAGAGTCCGACTGTCTTCAAATTTCACACATCTCAATATTTATATTAACCCAAGGTCTTGTGTTAAGATGAACAATATCGGCCCACTCCTTCTGGTACCTCCCCCACAAAAGGTCGAAATTTTCAAAAAAAAAATTTTTTTTGCACAGAAAGAGAAACGCTAATCCGAATTTGCTCCGACTTTGCGAATCCTAATATTTGCGTCAGTGCTAGGACAGGTGTGAAAATGGACAATATCGGTCCACTCCATCAAGTACCTCCCCCACAAAATATTGATATTTTGAGTACCCATGAAGCTCATAAATCGCCAAATTAACATCCGATTCCATTTAGACTTGGCACATCTGTCGAAATATTTATATCATATTTTGGGTCCGATAGGAAATGGGCAATATTGGCCCAATCCTTCGGGATCTGCTCCATAGAGGGTCAAACGTTTGAATAACCTTAACACTAGTCAAAATATATTTAGATAATCGAACATAGGCTGAGGGTATATCTCTGGCGGCAATACCGACTGATACTTTTTAACTTGTTTTTAAATAATTTTCAAGAAAAGAATACATATTGTTCCCAAGATATTATGGACCCACGACATTGTGGTCAATATTAAGCGGTATAGGATTCTGGGTCCAATGTTCCAGATTGAGAAGCTTGATGAAAATAATTATGAGACATGGTCCGTTCAAATGGGCAGTGTACTAATCAATCCAGGATGTTGAAAATATTAACAGAGGATGCAATTGAAATACAAATCAAGGAGGAACTTTTGGTAACGATTCCATTGTTAAGTTTGAAAAAGGATTGTGAAAATATGGAAACAAGGGAAAATCTTCCTTCGCTTATAAAATAGAAATTATGGCAAGAATGAGATCGGTGAGAAGAAGATACATGGGGAAGCATATCATCAAGTCAGAGCTGTTGGTGTCTTAAGAAAATGGAATGATGGTAAGAAACCTGTTGAGAAGATAGGATAAGTTCCATGTTTTGTTTATGGCAATCAAGTACAACTACAACCAGTAAAGAAAGCCTTAAAGTCGGGCGGGGCCGACTTTATGATACCCTACACCACTTTGCTAATTTAGTAGAGCTCCACATAACAAATAAAAGTTTTTATGGGAGAATTCAAACATACACGCTATGATTATAATTATAATTTAAAGTTCAAAGGACTAAATATGCCGTAGCATTTGTATCTTTTAAATTCGGAATTGTATTGCCCATTTGATGCACAATTAATTTGAAATCGGATAAAGATATATATGGGAGCTATATCCAAATCTGAACCGATCTCGATAAAATTTGGTAAAGATATTTCTGAGCTGTATTTGATATATTTCCCTGAATATCATTGTTACGGAGTGCATATTACGGCTGTGGGTAACAAATACAATAAATCGGATGAACAACATATTAACCAAATTTGACATACTACCTTCTAGACCCGATTCGGTCGTATGTGCCAAATTCCATCCCATTTGGACAAATATTAGACGTTTGGTGCACAATAAATGGTAAATCGGACGAAGTTATATATGGGAGCTATATCCAAATCTGAACCGATCTCGATAAAATTTAGCAAAGGTATTTCTGAGCTGCATTTTATATATTTCCCCAAATATTGTTGTTACAGAGTCCATATTACGGCTGCGGAGGACAAAAATAACAAATCGGATTAAAATTATATATGGGAGCTATAGCTATATCCGAACCGATTTCGATAAAATTTGGCATACTTATTTTCAGACCTAATTTGGGCGTATATGCAAAATTTCATACAATTCGGGCTGATATTACACGTTTGGTGCACAATAAAAGGCAAATCGGACGAAGATATATATGGGAGCTATATCTAAATTTTTACCGATTATCTCCAATTTCAATAGGGTTCGTCCTTGGGCCAAACAAATGATCTGTGCAAAATTTCATCTGGATCGGGCAATAAATGCGACCTGTACTTTGTTTACAAAAATACATGGACAGACGGACGGACGGACATGCATAAATCGACTCAGAATGTGATTCTATGCAGATCATCAAAAGGAGCTATGGGTCTATCTCATTTCCTTCTGCCTGTTACAAACAAATGCACAAAGACATAATACCCTGACCACCTTGTGGTGTAGGGTATAAAAATGGTGGACAAGAGTCTTAAAGATTCGGGTGAAACCATAATGTTAGCCGATAAGAAAGTCATCAAAGGAAAAGAGAATTGTGAGAATGAAAATTGTCCGGATTTCAATGGAAAATTTATTTCCGTTAAGAAAATGGTTCCAAAGGGATGTTCCGTGTAAATTTTCAAAGATGGTGCTGTGATGATGGACGAAGGCCCGTGTGTAATTGCGATTTTTCAAGAAAAATTATTTTTTCGTTTTTGATGCTCGCTCAACCTGTAAAGAACCAAATTTGTTTTATTTTTACTTCCGATAGTCTATGTCATTGAGGATTTGGTTATCTAAATTATCGGAGATTGAAAGAGTAATGCTCTACGCATTTGGCCAGCGCTTTGATATTCAAAATACTTGTTGCATTGTTTCCCAACCAATCGGAGAGCATATCAAAGGATTAGTGATTCATTCGGACGTATGTGGTCCCATGAAATTTGATTCAGTGGGTGGATCAAAGTACTTGGTGACATTTGTTATTGATGATATGATGATGAAGTTTCCGAAAAGTTTAAAGCATCCAAGACCATGGTGCAGTTGCAAACTGGTCACAAAATTAAAGCTCTGAGAGGCGATAATGCCTCAGCAACGAATTTGGCAAGTATCTCGAAACTAATGGTATTGAAAGAGGGAAGAACTATTAACAGCACCCCACAACAAAATTATGTACGCGAAGAGAGCAAATCGCTCGGTAGTTTAAATAGGACGTTGTCTTCCACTTGAATCTGGATTCGATCGAAGTTTGTGGACCAAAGTGGTTGCTACTACAACATGTATAAGAAATAGTTTGGAAAATATCAAAAAGATTGGAAAACACTACTACAATGGAGGTATGGTGTGGTCGGCAAACAAATGTTAATAATTTGAGGAATCTTGGTTCGAAACGTTATTGCGCTGAACAAAAAGCCTGGAAACTGGGAAGTTGGAGAAAAAGGCGAGAGATTGGATCTAAGAAAGCTGTGGAAAGATTAGAAGATTAGAAAAATTACAAGAACAAATACCAGAAATGTATTTTTAGGTGACATCGGAAAATGTTGAAAAGCACGAATCTTTGGAAGAGGGAGAAATACAACAACGAATCGATGAGGAACAATCAAATTCGGATGACAATTTTCAAGGAACTGAATAATTTTATTGATTTACTTGCTCAGATGAGCAAGAAAATCCTGAATCTGATTTTAGCGACATTAAAATTTTCTAAGCAGGTCCACGTCTTTGTATAGCCTCCATATAACGATATCTCCCGATATTCGGTATTTTGATGATTTTGGCGACATATTTCACCGGAATTGTTTCAAATTTCGAATTTAAAGTTCGTAATGGATACTACAGCCTATGACAGAAAATTGTCTATGCAGGTCCACGTCTTCGTATAGCCTCCATGTAACGATACCTCCCATTATTCGGTATTTTGATGATTTTATCGGCATTCTTCACCGGAATCATTTCAAATTTGGTATTTGAAGATCGAAATGGATACTACAGCCTTTGATGGAAAATTGTCTATGCAGGTCCCAGTTTTCGTATAGCCCCCCATATAACGGTACCCTGCAATATTCGGTATTTTCACGATTTTAGCGTCACTATTCAACGTAATTGTTTCA